CCTTACCTTATTCCAAGGCAATGGTCATTCAATAAAATGGTCCTCAAGAACCAATTTATTTGAGTACTGCATGATATTACTATTAATTAGACGATGTTTTTTTATGGTTAGCTGTAGCATTGGTCCACATTATTACTTGGTCACATGCTGAATCAGTTCGTCAAAGACATGCAATCATCCTGATATTGTTAGTTACTGGAACATCCTGATTTTGACTTTGTTGGTGTCTTTAGGTAGGCTTATTCTTAGCTTCTTTGGAAACCACATGTTGAATGCAAAACAAGTTTTTCACATATGGCATAGTATTTTTGTGTTATTTCTGTAGGTGTTACTTGTTTAGCTTTTGTATTTCTTGTATATCGAAGGTTTTGTTTCTTCATGAGATATTGGTTTGGTAAAAAGCTAATCGTCTGTTAACTTGTTGGTATGTTGATTTCTTCCCCTTTGATGTATATGACCATGGTTAGGATACTCATATTAAGACTGGTTTTTAAACCTTTAGCTATGTGGAGTTAGAGGCGGTGGCAATGCTGCTGCTCAGGCAATGTTTTGGCAAGCAAAGGTTGGGATGTCCTTTGTATTAGCATTCGAATCAGAGAGGGAAAGGAATGCAGCCATTATGCTCGCCAGACGGTTCGCATTTGACTGTAATGTAAGTCTCGAACTTAAAAGAGCATCATATGTGACATATAAGAATACATACATGTTTCTTTTACTGTAATCCATTTCTATTTTCTCACCTAGTAGGATTCTGAACTGCAATTTTTTTGGGTCCCAGATCATGCTTGCAGGGCCAGATGACAGGGCTGCTCTAGGAACCTAGCAGACATACCTCGTTTTCTCGTCCCAAGTGTAATTATAGTGATTTACTCGTGTATCATAGATCTACAAGTTTGTACCAGTGGAATGCATTGCTTGATTGTGATATGGGTTTCCACGATTATTTCTACTTTTTTGTTTTATTATTATTTTTTTTTTTATCTTCTACGCTAGGCATCCTTTTATTTGCCTTTGATTGTAACAGTTTTCTTGTCTTCCAAGTTATAATTTGCTGTTTGTAGTGATCCAACAAGTACAATCTTCAGATTTAGTTGAATGGAGATTGATAACTGAGCCATAAAACATCAAATTCATCTGACATTCATTCTTGTGACCCTACACTGAAAGCAGGGGGTCATTTGCAGAGTTAGAACATGTCGGTTATTCTCGTATGGTTTCATTAATGGTGGTGACAATTTAGTTTTGTTTGGTTTTTATATTTGGACAATTCAGAATTTTGTTGTCATTGGCAATAAGAACCTTGGTATGGAAATTGCAGGCAGGTAGAGTTTGATGTATTTATTTGGTTGAATGTTTTGCTATTCTTGGTACTTCTATGCATTTTCAAGATTCTTATCCCATTTCTCTCCTTTTTTTCAAGCTTTGCTTAATGCATGGCTGTTAAAACAGCACTCCAGCCTCCCCACGCCCACAGGCATACTGCACTCGAAAAGCTTCCATTGCTGATGAGAAGTTCTACCCACATTTTTCTTGCGAAATGAACTACTCCAAACACACAAGCATGTACAAGCTGTGTAAATGACATCAGTTCTAAAGGAAAGAATACAAGCCAAAACTAATGTGAGTATGCAAATCACAATGGCATTGGAAAAGCTTTCTGGCCTCCCCACTAGTATATTGCAGTTAAAAACTTGATGAGCAGATAGCCAGTCAAAATGAAATGATAATGTAGGAAACAAAACCTGCTTCAAAAGCTCGATAACAGATTGGACATCCAACTTGCCCAAAACCATAATACATTCATACCATGCAACACCAACCTTGCCTAGAACACCTCTATTCAGTTCACCAATGCTCCCACATATTTGAGTTAGCCCTGAGGCCAATGCATAATCAACTGATGTTATCCCAATTCCGCTAGATGTTTTAACAAAGTATAATATTTCCAAAACATAAAATTTGAAAGTGTAAACCTGTACCCTGATCTTCTGTAGAAGCAATAAACACATCCATATGAAGCTCAATCCAAAGTTCGACAAAATTATTTCAATCTAAAGATCCCTTGATACATTAAACAACAGAAAGAATAGAGTTGGAAATTTGTCACTGAACAACGCTTACACAACCCCCACATTTACAGCAAGGATTAGAAGTTAAGCCCCTGACATTTGAACAGATAGGGAAAAACTCTAGAAAAAAGGCCATTGTATTGTGTCATCCCAACAAGACAACTAAAACATTACAGAAGCAAAATGACATACTGCAAATTGATAATGAAGCAAAAGAAACCCAGTAATACATTGTACATTTTCATGAAGATCCCAGTCCACTTGATAATTACACACACAACTGATAGGTACTGGGGGGGAGAGGGGTTTAAAAGGAAAAAAATCATAAAATAAAAGGGGAAGGAAATTCAAACTACAAGAGTCAATTACACAAACCTGTGTAATTTCCGAACTTTTAGTCAGAGCGGAATCATTTTTTCAAACTGTTGCTGTTGGTGGATGACATAGAAACGTATAATACAAGCTCCTAAAAGGCCAAAAAGAAAGCCTCCTATTTCAGCATTGCCTAAAGTACTGTGCTGACTTTCTCATCACCATGTTTTACAAACTCATTCCTTGCCTCTCTAATCTGCATTACCTACACATATACATCTAAGAAAAGAACTATCAACCTGTATGAGTATGTTCATAAACCACAGTGCCATTTCAGTGAGTCATCCTTCTTCATCATAATCTTCCTCTTCCTCATCTATCCTATTTAAACTGGCAAGTTGAATGGGATCAATGGTCATTCTCTCCATGTCCACAAGTGGCCAGCAAGGGTATTCCTCATGCTTCATTTCAAGGGAGGGCTTTGTTGATGGACTAGCAGGAGTTACAGCTGGTATGGTTGTGGAGTCCCCGTTCTCATCCAAGTCCACATTAAGATCAAAGTTCCGAACTGGCAAAATTGCATTCTCACCAATCAAAGTGTTTTCCTTAGAATTCAGAGGTTCTGCCCCACTATCCAGCCTTTCAAGATTTTCCTTTTGCTTCCCATTGCTAAGCTGAGAAATGCCCAGATCATCTTCAAATTTCTCGTAATGAACAGGCAACTCTTTCTCTAATGTTCGACTACCTCTACCACGGCCTCTACCTCTACCTCTACCCCTACCTCTTCCTCTGCCACTATTAGTCTGACCAGTCTCCTGCTGCAACCATTGTCAGAGGATGCATTAAAATAATAAACTTGATAAAGAGTTTGTTGATCTACAAGATACATCAGCCCCACCCCACCAAAAGGGGAAAAAACAACCATTGATTAACAAAATCCATTATCTCATGCACAAAAAGGGCAGTTACTGCATTTAGTTTCCACACCACACTGCTTTCATCTCCTAACATGCAGTTTTTAAGACACATTATGTAATTGCCCATTACACATGCCAATGTAGCAAACATGAATTAATTGCCATAAAATTTCTGGTGTGATTGGTGAATACCTGGCCAAATAGAAGTAAATTATACCTGTATTTGATTCATATCATTGTCTAAAGCTAAAATAGGCGCCAATTTTAAGTAAGCTTGTTATAAAAACATTAACTATAAAAATATGTGCTTATATGTGAAATACCCCACATTGATTTCTCTCATTTGCTTTAATCCAACTGCTAAGAATTCAAGTTTCCCAGTTTGAGCTGCATTAACAAAGTGCTGAAAGCCTACAATTCATCAAGAAATTAAAAGAAACAGCATGTTACTTACCATCCTGCCACTCTTCAACTCATCCTCACTGCCATTTTCTTCTTCATCAATAATTTTCCTGCTTAAACAGGGTAATAGCAGTATTGTTAAAAATCAAATTTCATATTCTATTACCCAAAGTGAGAAAAAAAAACCTATAACATTCCCAAACCTTCTTTTAACAGCAGATTTGTCTTCACCAGCAGCATCTGAACCACCTAAATCAGGAACTTTACCGACAATATCCCTCAGGAAATCAAACACGTTAAAGCTCTGTACACACTGTTTCCTGCACATTAAATCTTAAGTGAGATGCCGACGGGAGTACAAACTGAAAAAAAAATAAAAAATATAAACCATCCATTGCCTAATCTCCACCATTTAAAATCTAGAGAGAAAATGTATTTAAAAACTTACAAATGCAAGGAATTCAAAGTCTTTGCTCCCCTCTTAAGTGTAATCTCATATGTACGGTCACAAAGATCTTGTAGAAATAGTTCCAAAGCTTTAGCTGCGTATGATTATTCACAGAAAATGTATAAGTTGCTATAAAAAAAAACAATACTACACAATTTATTAAGCAGAAAATAAAAATAAAAAGGAAAGCAAGATAGGCAATTTACCCAGGAAAGTAACTGTTTAATCTCCCAAAAGCTCAAAAGCCTATCATAGAAAAGAAATACTGACAATACTAATAGGAGACGCTTACAAACTAGAAGAGGTACAGCCATAGCAATCTTCCCCACATCCTCGTCAGCTTGCATTATCTTCTTAATCCGAGCCTGAAAAATGAAAACTTCAATCAGATAACAGTGCCAACTAATCTGTTTGGCATAAAACACAGTCGAAATACAGTGGGAAATGCCAATTAACATATACAACATATCAATTAATAATGTCTGTGATAATATTTATTGGACTTTAATTCAGATTTTGCTCTGAGATGCAGGAGTATTGATTCCTATATCTTTTCACATGCCTTAGTGATGAACCCGATGATGAAATGAGAACAGATTCGATGATTAACAAATTCGGAGAGAATTTGTTTAAATTTCATTAAAAATCATGTCAGTTAGATCTCATTTCATTCATGCATGTGGAAGTTGACATAAAATTGTGCATTCATACATTAATGCCAGCTTTGAGGGGTTTTGGAAGTCAAAAAGTCAGTTGAAGGATGAATTGAGGATAGTTGAGCAGTGTGCTTCAGGTTCCAGGGAAGAAGAAGGTGAACGGACATCTGGTTTAGCCGGTTTTTCTTATAAGAACTCATTCCTCTCTTCAATCAAATCATAAAAAACCCCTCAGCCCTCTTCCCTAGCATCCTTAGATCATGAAACTATCTAGTGAGTCCATTTTGCATTACTTGTTTAAAATTTAAATTGACACATATAGCTGCACAAACCACAAATGTATATACCAAATGACCACTACTGCTGTATTGTCCTTTCAATCCAAAATAAATGAGTAAATGACCACTAACATCATAGTATTTACAAAATATCATTACCATATCACACATAAAATCAGTGTTAAAATTTCTGTTCGTAACCTATTTTTCACCACAAATGTAAAAAACATAAATATTGCCCATGTTGTAGCATCCAACCCAAAATCAATTGGCAATAGGTGTAACAACACCTAAAGTATATAAACCAACTTTTGTGGTTCGAATTATTAGATATGGGATACAAGCTCTCTTAACACCCGGTCGCACCGGGGGCGGCTCAACAGCATTAAAAAAAAGCTTGGGTTTTAGGACCCAAATTTTTAGAAGGCCCTATAATTTTAGGTACATTACTAATTCAGAAAAAATTTAAATCCATTAAATTTTAAACCTTAAAAAAAGGCCCCAAAAAATTAAGTACAATCAAAATTTTTCCATAATCCAATTCATAACATTAGAAATCTAAAAATCATAAGTTGAAAAAATAAAAAGTCCCTAAAAGTAAACTCATATTTATTCCTATCTATCCTCTCTCTATAAAAATACAAAAAAAAACATAAAAAAGGAAATTGAAATTAAACTATCTCTAGTAAAAAATAAAAACAAAAGTTAAAACCTTTTTCTCAGCAACACTAACATGTCTTTGTTCTATCTCTCTCTCACATAATAAACTGAAAATAAATTAATTTTTTTAAAGAAATTAATATTAAAAATAAAAAAGGTTTTATTTAATATTTTTGGTTTAAACCTCAAATTACCTTGTGCCACCCTGTGTCCCACGGGGGCACTCAGGCTTGTACGTGAGGTCAATCAATAAACAAACTAACAATTATGTATACTAGAAGTCCAACTATGATACTATGTTAGAGTATCCAAATCAAAACCAATTAGCAATAAGTTGAGTGACTTAAGTGTATAAACCAACCTTGGAGGTCATACTTATTTGACGTTGGATACAAGCTCTCTTAACAACTCTTTACCATTGGGCATCATTGAATTTTAACAACACAAACGACATTAAGAATGCATGTCATAATTTTAGTGCTTATTGTTATGTTTTCTCTTAAAATTTGTATAAGTAGGAGTAATTGATGACAAAATACCATTAACATATCACGCATGGAATCAAGTGTTAAAATTTATGTTCGTAACCCATTTTTCACCACTAATATGAACAACATAAACATTACTTTATATCTTTGGGCACCAATAAACGACATGAAGAATGCAATCATGGACATCAATTACTCCAAACAATAATAAGCACTAAAATTATAACATGCACAAGTCTAATGAAGCTTAAAAAATTAAGTAAAAAGGAATGAAAAAGAAGGAACACTTACGGCTGGAAAACGAGTATCGAGCTTCTTCCTCATGGCGTTAAAGTCTCAGCATCAACATCAATCGAACCCAACAGAGATCGAAATCAAATATAGGAGTTTTGGGAGAAAAGAAAAGAAAAAAAAAACTATTGGAAATCGTTACGTCTCTCCTCTTCTTTTTCGTCTCCGAACTTCCCAAAAACGAATCACTTTTGAAGATTCGGATTCTCTCTCCTAAACCGCCATTTCCGGAAGCTATCCACTACCAAGTCCGACTCTATTTCTATCTTCTCTCTCTAATTTTCATCGAAAGTTTTGGTATGGTCTATATTTAAGGTTAATTAAAAAATACCCCCCCCCCCCCAAGTTTAGGTATACTTACAATCAACTCCGTTAGGTTTTTATTTTAATAATTTACCCCCTTAAAATTTTTTTGAGACTAAATTAACTGAGTGAGTAGGTGAAAAATATAAATTTTCTAAAATACTCCAAATATCGAATTTTATTTTTCTATATGCTCTTTGTACCTAACACCAAACATCTAGTTATGGGTTTTTGATTAATTTTAAATCATGTGAATAGATCTGTCAAATGATCGGATCCTGATTCGAATTCGAATTCGAATATGATATCTTATATTTTTACAGATTCAAATTTGGATATACGATATATATATATATATATATATATATATATATATATATATATATATACTACTTTATTGTCCGTACTTGAAAGTACTATACAAAAAATTTGAACCCATAATTTTTTTAAAAATTTGGCAAAATTTTCCACTAAAACAAAACCCAAAAAAAATACCAATATATGTACACAATTGTTGAAAATTTTAATGAGATAATAAAAGATGGGACTTTGCAAGGAAGCCCCGATTACAAAATGGAAGCTAAGACTTCAATGTAGAATTGCATTGGCCAAGCTGTGTCATTGGTCGAGTTTTATTTGACTATAAATTTCAGATTTAATACACTTTCACATTTTTATTCAAAATCAAAAATCTATTATAACTTAAACTTGGCCAAATCATTTCAAACATTCCAAAGTCATTCTCGAGTAATTGATTGTGCTTGAAGGCATTCATGTAATATTAAAAAAAAATGCATCACCAAGAAAATATGAGAATCCCATTAAAAAAAATTAATAATTGGTTTTAACATCAGCCATCACTCCACAAAAACCACTTGTCTATAGTTTTAGGACTATGCAACTCATAAACAACCAAAAGCAATTTGAATTTCTTCCATGATGAAGCACATCCAAATCTATCTAGAGCTATCCACGAGTTGGAACAAAGACGATGTATTCATGGATAATTTAAAATCCTAGTTAGGGCGAATTAGAGCCTTACCCCTTGTTAGGACAAATATAATTACTAAAAGTATTCCAAAATTAATTGGGAACCCTAATTTGCAGAATGAGGGTTACTTTCCAAATCTTCTATCCATTGCATAATGAGTAATATTATTGATATCTAAAAAATTGAACTTATTTATTGACAAATAACGTGTCAAGTGATGAAATCCCAATAAAAAAGTCCAAGAGTTATAGTCACAATGACACTATTAGATCACCTCACTATCATATCATTAGGTTAACAAATTAGATATATTTTTTAGATCCCAATAACATTACTCTTGTACAATAGACATCTTCATTTATTTGAATTCCAACAATCTCGCCCATTAGGAAGGAATATCGTCACCCATTAAAGCAACTAGATGTGGAGAGTCAAGAAAATGCATACATGCTTTTAAACTTTACAATCCGGTGCCAAATTACTCTTTCCCAAAATTTTGCCACTATAATCGTTATAGACATCGTGTCTAAAACAGATACAAAACATCTTGCAGACCAAGATCCTCTCTTAGCTCCCCAAAATCCGAGATTGTCCATGCATAATCCAATCAAACTCTTGCACTCCACCAAATCTGTAGTCGTAGCTAGTTGACAGAAGTCCTTCCAAAGGACTACCATTATGTTGCTTCCATAATCCATAATAAAATTTGGATCTAGACTTAAAACTACAACTTATTTGTAAATGATATGCACTTGCAACTTAATTGGCATCAAACAGCACATTTAATTACTTGTGATTTCAATTGAAGCAGCTGCTGGACGGCTATTTACATGCTCCAATTTCAGAAATCTCTATCTTTTGTTTAAAAAAAAAAAAGAGAAATAAGAGAGAGAGATGGGAATCCAAACAATTCAGTATGCCAACAAATGTAGTGGTAATGAGCATTCAAACCACTAAAAACTAAATTGCAGCCAAATCAAGACCAACAAAAAAAGACACTGAAAAACTAACAAATGAGCTTTAGATAAGGGAAGCCAAATCCTTTCTTACAATTAGCTCTACAACAAAAAGGATGGTTTACCACTGAAATTTTCTCACGCACAATACTTCTTATATAAAAAAAAAAAGAAAGATAGGCATTTTTATAAACAAATCAAAACAGTAATTAAGGCATCTTTACGAAAAGGAAATGAGGAACATTGCCTTTCGAAATTTCAGTGTCAAGAAGCATGTCATTAAATACTATTCAACAGTTTTGACACATCAACTTTCCTGGTATAAGCTTTCAAGTATACACAACATCTTCACTCGACAGATAACAGAGTTAACAGAAATCACGCAGCAGAGGGAAACATGCAGCACAATAGGAGCTTCGTCTAGAGTAGTGTTACTGAAACACAAAGTCATGCACAACAACGTCATGCATAGCATCATTGACCCCCCCTTGCCCTTCTTTTTCTCTCCTCCATTCAGGAAAAGGAGAAAAACTCATCAGGCACAGAAAGCACTTGGATAATGTCATCCTAAAGACAAAAAAAAATTTGTTCAGATGGAATTTTGAGAACAATAATGAGGAAAAGCATCAATCAGAGAATGAGGTATCTCAATTTTGGAGAAGTTCAATGCATCTCAAACTAATAGGAACATAAATATACCTGCACAACATAACAATGTGAGCAGAACTCACCTTCTTGATTCCACAAGAAGAGCACGCTGTTCAAGACTCTTGTCTAATGATATATCAATCTCACTGGTTGTGTAGCTGTTCACAGAAAAACAATCAATGCCAACTGATAAGCAACATAGAAAACTGAGAGAGAGAGAAATTCCAGAGAACCCTAGAACAACAACAATAGTATCAACTAATCACTCCAGCGATTTGCCCAGAAGATTTCTTGAAATGCTCATATTTAGTTATTGAAGTTAACACACTTCCCTTTGCTACTCATTGAAAGCATTCCCTTGAACATTCCCATACAAATAAACAATTCTAATCCTAGCCATATGACCACAACGTCCTTAACTGTGATTACCTGGAAGGAAGAACAGCTTGAGGAACAAAAGGAGTATATGTTGTTTCTCTCTCAGCTGTAAGCTGCTGAGCCTTCTGAAACTCTATATATACTGCTTGAAAATCTTTTGCAAGCTTACATGAGTGCTTAGAATTGTTAAGTAAAAATAATAGAAAATGATAGTGCTAGAGCTTCTAGGCAATATTAGTCTTCAACATTCCGATAAAAGTATCTACCATTCATAAGAATTCAATTCAAGAAATAATACACATACAATAACCTAATTGATCAAGATATCCAATATTTCACATACACTTGACTGTTTTATAAAAAATCATATTTAGTGCAAATAGAAAAGAAATTAATTACCAAATGAATAACATGAATGTTGACATTGCCAACTTCTACACCCTTGATGGTTACTACTCTCGTTTCTTTATTTAACCGCTTCCCTGCATTAGTTGCCCAAGCACTATAATATAAAAAATAATAATATCAATAATTTAAAAAAAAATAAAAGACCAACCAGTTGCCACAAAGATAGATCAAAAAATGTAAATGGAATAAGTATGATTTAAAAAATAAGTACTAAACTCCAAGAACAAATTGGTGGTGGAATGACAAAAAACAGGATTACATGCTCTCATTTAAAAGATTAATTTTTCTTTCTTCGTTTGTTTTTGGCTTAAAAAATCACAAAAAGTGGCAGTTGATTATCATGGCAATCACCTGACCAAGCGTGGTTTTGTCGCCGTAGCCGTTGCCATAACCGTCCCAGTCCCCGCAGCCGTTGCCGCTTGCCTCTTAAGATGCAAATTTTCAGTGCAAATGAATTCCGAACATGCCATAAGATTGAAAAAAGTTCCGAATTTTAACTTAGAAATAGATTAACTTAGACCATCCAATATAATAAAACAGCCTGAAAAAATAGATATGGACATAATTGCACATCAGTAGCATCCAAAGTTCACCAAACCAATAAATTAATTAAGATCTCAACAAAATTGATCGGAGTTTTAGTTGAAATGCAGAGAGAAAGATGACTCTTATCTGATATGCTTGTTTGGTTGCCTCTATGAGTTGTTTGGCAATGTTTTTTATGGTTATATATCCTCATTCACTAATTCCTATGCAAAACACGAATTTTCAAACACAACGGCAATCAAAAATTCACAACACAGAGACTTAAATCAAGAAATGTATTCGTGCATATACATACGTATATACGAAAATCTCCTATTCAACAAAAACTCCGATCTCAAACGGAAAATGTAAACATAATACATACACACACAGAAATGTGAATACCCAAAGCGTACTTGAAACAGAGTAAGGATTGACAGGCTGAGAGCTCTTTCTTGATCGTTACACTGTTGCAACGTTTGTCTCTCTGTCTACTGTAGCCGTCCAAAACGTTGGCTGGGCTGTGATTACATACATAACCTCCAACACCCTTTCCTTCATCTTTTCCCGATAAATTTTTTTAAGAAAATATATTCCTTAACGAGAACATCAAGCATTGAGTTGAAGAGATTCAAAGATATGTACTTTTCAAAATTTAGAAACCAAATCAAGAACTTTGATCACTTCTCGAATCATATGAGCCCGACTGAGACTTCAGAGACAATATGGACAAGAATGTCATCGACTGGGGGTGAGCCAATCGAGCTGGGCATTTCATCGAGCAGTTATTTGACAGTAAAGAATTTTTAAACTACATTGCTTGCAGATCAAAAAAAATATGTATGAAAGCAATAAAACTTAAACATACCTAGCAGCAAATTCAATCGTCAACAAAATCTTGAATCAAGGATCAAAATCAAATTGTTGTGTGTGTTATGTGTCTATGCCTTTTGTCTGTCTCTTTCTCTACTGTAGCCGTCCTAATGCGACTATTATGAGTGGGATTTGAGATTAGGAGAAGATTTGAGATGAATTCCATGGGACGGAGGCATTGGGAGAGGGAGGCAGAAGTGAGAGACTGAGGCAGAAGTGATGGAGAGGTGGGTGGGAAAATAAAATTCGATAATTACTGTGCACCGTTCGATTAAAATTTATAAGATAATCTGAATCATCTTATTTTGAAATTACGTTGTCCATTAGTTATTTTTATGTTTTGTCTCAAACGATCTCGACATCTCTTTATCCCTAGATTCAAACTTAACTCTACTTTATTAAATATATATATATTAAAAAAATTAGTTAAAATTTAGCAACTTAAGTTATTCGAATCGGATTGAATTTCAAATTATTAATGAATTCGGATGTGAACAACAAAAATAAAATTCATCGAAGTTAAATGATGAATTTTAAATGGTGTTCAACTAACTATAAGAGTTAAATGAAGATTATTCAAACGTCATCCCTGAAATTTTTGAAATTAAAATATGAGGAAGTTGATTGTAATATGATTCAAACTTAAATGAGACATTTTATAATTAATCCAAGAGTTCTAAGTTGGTCTGTCAATTATGTCAGATAAGACAGGTTCATGTCAAAAAGGACTTCACTCATATCTGATTATTTATTAATTTGTATATAATAGGTTATCTAATATTAAATTTGTGTCATGTATGAATCGTGTATAACTGATATATAAACGAGTTGAATCGTGTACTTTTTTATTGACTTCAGTCAAAATTAATTTATTTATTAATCGTGTCATGTCAAATTCACTCATTTATCAAAAGGGCGAATAAAAGAAGAATAAAACTATCTAATTTTGTATCGTATCCATGTTATATTAACGAATGCTGTTATATTTTGGCACCCTTAATTCTATGTAGATCAGGCCAGGGCAGCCCACAATCAAAAGCCCGAGCCCAACAGCATTCGGGGGCACCGTACTGCTGACTGGTCAGTGTGCCAACCTGGCTTAAGATCCGTCTAGTGCCGGACCCTAAGAATGTCTTAAACGGATCATGTTTTGAATGGATTCCTTTATCCCATTGCTTTTTTGCCAACCAAACAAGGGATATGCGGGCCCCAGATAGTTTTTACCCAATCTGTCCCTTTAATCCCGTTATTATTTCATGCAACATGCAAGTATGGACACTACTTAGAAAAGTTTTGGAGATAGAATTACGATTGGAAGAGATTAATAAGTAATTTTGGCTAATGGGGATGATGGAGTAGGAGACTGTTCAATCGAGAAACTCTTTGCCTCAAGCCAAATTAGGATCATTTGATATAAGTATAGACATTAAAAAATTAATAAATTAAAGTCAATAATTGAGTTCAAATCAATTAAATAAATAAAATTGAGTTAGACATAAATTTTATAATTTAAGGTGTTTGACAACTCAATGTTTCTGTTTTTTATTTTTTGTTATAATTAAAAACAATTGGTTTATGTTTATGTTTTTTTTTAGCCAAGTTATTTTGAAAAATATTGAAAACAAGAAAAATGATGTTTTTAAAAATATAGAAAAATAAAAACACGCGGGGGGCTGAGGGGCATTTAACGAGGTTCAGCCTTCAACTTTCAATAAAAGCAAAAAATAAGATATTTTTGTGGCACCTATATAAAGTAAAAATAAAGCTCTCTCTCTCTCATTTGTGGGTCTGCGATAGGCGAAGCTGGGATCCCAATCAGCGAAGCTCTCTCCGGTGCATCGGTGGTGGCTTGCAGATCTAGGGATTTTTTATTTATTTCTGGCGAAGCTCCGACTTTGCAGATCTAGGGATTTTTCTTCATCTCCATAGAAAAACGGTGGTGGTGGTGGTGTAAGCGTTGGTGTATCGGTGGTTTTTCTTCATCTTCATCTTCAGCTTCAGCTTCAGCTTTTATGGGTTGGTGTATCGGTGGTGGTGGTGGTGTAAGCGTTGGTGTATCGGTGGTTTTTCTTCATCTTCATCTTCAGCTTCAGCTTCAGCTTTTATGGGTTGGTGTATCGGTGGTGGTGGACTAGTATTGGTGGTGGTTTTGGGTGGGTTGGCTGGTGGGTTTTGGGGTTGCAGCAACTGGGTTTCCTCTTTGTGTGCATCAGTAGTGGTGGACTGTTAGTGGTGGTGGTTTTGGTGGTGGGTTTTGGGGTTGCAGCAGCTGGGTTTTCTCCGTGTGTGTATCGGTGGTAGTGGACTGTTATTGATGGTGGTTTTGGGTGGGTTGGGTGGTGGGTTTTGGGGCTGCAGCAGCTGGGTTATCTCTGTGTGTTTGTATCGGTGGTGGTGGACTGGTATTGGTGGTGGTTTTGGGTGATGGTTTTAAGGGTTATTGCAGCTGGGTTTTCGGGGCTGGTGATCGTGGGTTTTGGGTGGATTTGGTGGTGGGTTGGATGGTCAGTTTTCGGTGGTTGAGTGGTAGCTAAACAGGGTGATGGTGATGGGTATTCGATGGTATTGATGGTGGCCCAATAGATGAGTTGGTGGTGGGTTTTGGAATGGTGGAGAAGATGGAGGCTGGGTGGGGTGGGTTTTCAATGAATTGGGTGGGAATGTATTTGGAATTAAAAAATTAATTAAAATAACAACAATAAATTATGTAAACACTATTATAATACCAAATATATTTTTATTTTTATTTTTATAATTTTTTAAATATAAATAACAACCAAATATGTTTTTTATTTTTAAGTTTTATCATAAAAAAAATAAAAATTTGTTTTATTTTTTTTTAAAAAAAGCATAAAAATAAAAACGTTACCAAACGATACAAGTTCAAATTTAATTAACAAGTCTTGTCAAATTAAATTAAACTAGACTTAAATTTCATAGTCTAAATAATACAAACCCAAATGCAATTAATCGAACTTGTTAAATTAAATTAAAATTGACTTAAATTCAATAGACTCAAATTAAATAAACTTTTAAAAGGTAAAATGGGTTGGACTTAAATTTCATAAATTAAACAAAGTCTACAAATTTATAGGTAACCCACTATCTAAAGCTCATATAAGAATAATAAGGTAAAAATACTATTATATGGATAACTATCACTCTTATATGAATAACTACTCCTAACACTATAAATAAAGGTGTAGGGGAGGGCCAAAGAGGAGGAAAAAAAGGGAGAAGAAGTCAAGGAGGAGGAAGATCGGCGAAACACTGCTCAAAGTTCGCTAAAGCCTTGCAAGTTCATCTTCAGGAAGTAGAACACACAGTCAAGGTCCTTTTTCAAAAAATCCAAATCATTTTCAAGCCATTCAAAATGAAGAACGGTAAGGAGATTCACCAAAAACGTCATCAAATTGAAGAACGAGAGATACATTGATTTAGCTCTCGTATTTATCAAATCCACCAAAACCACCTCCAATTGAAGAATGAGAAATACGTCAATCAAACCCTCATCTTCACTAAAATTCATCATCTTCATTAAATTCACCAAGAATCAGAGAACAATGAATATAAGAAGCACGCCAAAAAAAGTCAACATCACATCTTTTACTTAAAGTCAATCAAATTGATTATTATAATTTGACCTTATTTTTTATTAATTTACACACAAAATTTGTTGTTATAGTAAGTTTTTTGTGACGGTTGTGTTCATCATTACAAAAAGCATGTTTTGAAGAAGAAAAAATAAATAAACTTGTGATAATAGTACTGTTATAAAAAATTTATTCGTTGTTGCAAATATTATTTTAGACCTATAATTGCTACCATAAAATTTTTTTAAGGCTCCGCTTACTATGGCAAGACAATGTCGGCACAATGCTGCCACAAAGAAATGTTTATGAAAATAAATAATTTTTTTATGACAACATTTTATCAAAAAAATAAAAATAAATTCTTGTAGTGTGGGGGGACTTAAAAACATTAAGAAAAAATAATAATGTAATATTGTACTCGCTCTGAGTGAGCTTCAAATTAGGGGGTGATGAACCATAATATCACGTGTCGATAGAGAAAACTAAAGAGATACTATAAATTGTATAAATTTTTCAATATTATGCAAAAAAAATTGAAAATTTATTTAATTGAGACAAATAAAAGTTCTAATTTTATTTCATAATTAAGTCCAGAAATAATGCATAAACACACGAAATAATAAACCTATTCAAGGCAAAAAAAAAATGGACCTTAAAAAATCATCGACTATGTCACTTTTTGCAGATAAAAAATAAAACCAATTTTTCTTCATAATTCCGTTAGTATAATTTTTGTGTTATTTCGTATCCTTTATTTTGTGGTGTTTATGTGAAAATCTTTACTTGATGATTCAACCCTTATAGAATAATCTTAAAAAGATCACATTTTCAGTAAATATAATTATCTTTCGGTTCATTGATTATTTCTTAACATCCTCGTGCATCGTTAGACTTGCATTTAGTCCAATTTCCGGTCGGTTTCATTCAAATTGAAAAAAATAAAATTTTGTCCAATATCTAATCATGTTATTTATTTTCAATCCTTATATAGTGACATTTTAAATAAGAGAAATCATTTAGATCTCCTAATATTTGAATATTACACACAAAGCTCCTGAAGTTTGTACTCGTGTAATACTTAGACTTCTGCTGTCAATGTCTGTTAGAATATCCGTTAATAAATTATATTTAGACCCCTTAAAATTTATGGGTGTGTAATATTACACCCTTCAAGTTTAAAATGTTATACTTAGATAAAAAATATTTCAATCAAAGATAAAATATCAAATATTTTAAATTTTTTATATCCAAAATTCATGTTTTATTATGTCATTTATTGAAATAAAATCAAAAATAAAAATTATTATTTTTCTTTAAAAAATTATAATTAGTATATAATTATACTATCTATTAAACTACTAAACTACCCCAATTAAAGATGAAAGATGTTGTGTCAATTACAATTTGACCCGATGTTTTTTTTTAGTTTTATTCCAATAGAGAGTAGAATTGTATATTAATTATGATTTTTTAAGAAAAAATTAAATTTTTAATTTTAATTTTATATCAATAAATAACATAATATAAAATAAATTTTGGTTGTAAAATTTAATTTATTTGATATTGTATATTTGATTGGAGTATTTTTTATCTAAGTATAACATTTTAAACTTGAAGGGTCTAAATATTACATTCATACAAACTTCAGGGATCTGAGTGTAATTTATTAACATATATTCTAATGGATATTGATGATAAGAATCTAAGTATTATGTGTGTACAAACCTTATGGAATTTGTGTGTAATATTTCAAATACCAATGAGTCTAAATGACTAAATAATAAACTTTAAGAAGTTTGAGTGTAATTCTCCCTTTAAATAACTAGTGCCTCTACCAGTGGCATAGTTAGTATGCCGCACATTGTACATTTAGAACCTCAGGGCATAGTCAGCAGAGATAGGGGTGAACTGTAAATTCAGACATCCTGAATTTTAAATTTGACAACTTATTTGAGGTCAGGTCATGAGAGATTTGTTTCTCATGAATTCTCTATTTTCGGTATGGATAACTTGTCTTTGACCAAACTAAAGAGAGAATAAATCGAAATGTATGCAAGTTGACCCAGACAATCCTGACCATAATACCAAAAAAGAAAAGTACATTGTACATTTAGCAAATACAGCTAGCAATTTGTGTCGAGCAGCTCAATGAACTTCTAGGAGCAAGTCAAGGAAGAAATTTGTGGAATATAACAAGTATTCCTACTACAGATATCACATGATATAGATAAAATTTGAAAAATAAAAATGAAAATATGCACAGGATAAGTCTATAATAAAATATATTTTATTATTTTTATTATTATCTGATAACTTAATAATTATAATTTCTAGTAAATTTTGTAACAATAATACCAAAAATTTGTAAGTTTTATTTTAAATAAAGTATTGTTCATCTCATTATGGTAAATCCATATAACAAATGTGACTAATTAAAGAAATCATAAACAAGATTAAAGAAGTTGGTTTAATTAGAAATTATTGTTGCCAAGATATATGGTGTAAATATATTTCATGCTCTTTTGACATGTGATAATAGATAATACCTATAAAAACCACTCATGTACCTTCAAAGTTGAATGTATTTTTCTTTATGTGGATTCAAGAGAAAATGGTAAAGATTAAAACAAAATTATACATAATACTTGCATATAAACCTTTATATCTAAAGTATATGTGATGATGCACAAATTGGTATTATGCACCATGAATCAAGTGATTAGTAATATTAATACAATAATTAAACAAAAAGAGAGAGTAACTCAAGCAAGACAAAGATGTAGAGTAGTTCGGTCAACATGACTTACATCCATTATGAAGGACTAGGGTGGCCTGGGTATTTTATTACTTCGAGAAGTGTAGGGAAAACAGGAAGATACAAGCAATGAGAGAGAGACGAGAGTGATAGCAGATGTTCTTGATGCCCCCCAAGTATTGGCGGAACTTACAATTTATAGTGTCTTTCAACATATTGAGGCGCCTTTTCAGTAACTAAGTGACTAATACAGTGGATCTGACGCTATCTTCTCAACGGATGAAGCAGTTATGAAGCTCTCTTTAAGATCAAGTCAAAGGATGATGTGGTGGTTGACTCTTTCCAAGGCAGCGTGAATGAGGCTCTTGGATGGTGCTCCCTACTCCTTACTGATGTAGCTCTTGGAATCCTGATGAGCCTGATTGGATGTGGACCTCCCTTGGGCTGGACCCATTGTATCTCTTCTGATTGGGCTCTTTATTCAAGCTGGACTTAAAACTTGAGTTGAGTCTTTGGTCCTGGCCTATCATTTGCCCTCCAATGCCCTATGTCCAATGAAAGTTGGAGAACAGAGCATTTGGATGAACCGGACTCCAGCTGACGGAGACTCCTTTTGACTAGCAACTTTTTTCCTTTTTGATGTATAAACTCTTTTTGCCTTTTGGACATCTTCAGTCATATAACCCCTTCATCTTATTTTCCATTTGGATTCTAGAAGAACCCTAGGTTATAAGTTGGGGCTTTTGCTTTTATTTCCATTTCATTCATCTTGAGAGGATTCTTTTTTGAGACTTTCAAGAGCCCAAGTAAGATGAATGGGGCTAGAGACCTTGTTCCTGAGATGAGTTCTCAGAGATCAATGTTGCCAGGAAAAGAAAAAATGCAAAGGTCCCTTGGTGAGGAAGTTAACAGCGATGGAGCAATTGGCACCAAGGGAGGCAGTGAGGCTGTCGCTGGCGTGATGTTGACCGCAAGAGAAGGCAGGGCTTGTGTTCTGTAGGGCATCAGCAAGGCAGGGGTCATTGTGGGCCATGGCAGCGTTGGCAAGGTTAAGTTCATCGTAAGCCAAGGCGGTGAACTGTGGAACTAGGGATGTCAGTGGACCGAAGGGGGGTGGAGGATATAGTCTCCATCCCCGTACCCGCTTAAAAAATCTTTGTCTATCCCCGGTCCACTCTCGTTAATGAGTATAATTTTCATCCTCATCCCCATCTGCGGGTAAATTTCTAATCCCTATCCCCGTCCCCGCTTCCCCCGTACCCGCCCAAGCCCAAGTTCAAGCTCAAGTTCACTATCTGGAAGGCTCCAACTAACAAGTAGATTAAGTGGTGGAGAGCAGATGACATAAGGAACCATGTCCAACTCTTGAATATATGAGAAAATGCTGGGTAACTCAACAACATGAATTCTTGAAATCCACTTCACCAAAAAAATAGTTTTTAAATTCAGAATAGAATGCCACACACAGGAAGATCTGGGCCAAATTTTGATGTATTACAGAATGCTTGTGTAGCAGCGGAAAACAGAGCAGACAACATAGCTGAAGCTCATGTAGGTGACATTGAATCCATGGATTTAGTTCTTAATGGTTCCTAGTTTTAATGATACAACATTATTAGATCAATAAATTAAGTTAAACTTTTAGATCTAAACCTCATTACATTTTTAATGAGGTGGCTAAAGTTCCTCATACATTTCTAGCAAGCATTGTATAGGAGCATCCAAGCCAAACCTATTTTTCTAAGTAATATTATTTAGACTTAAAAACAATATTGGAAACATTGGGTTCTACGCATGATGAAGATATCAAAGAAGAAAAAAAATGAGAAGAAGAATAAAATAGAAATTGGGGGTTACTGATTTTCAATTCCGAAAGTACCTTAATGAAGAAGAGAAATATGAAAATAATTTGTAGGTCGAAAAGCAGCAATCCCTCTTAAGATGGGTGTGACTTACACTTGTCCAAATTGAAGAATGGCTAAGAAAAGTAGCTGTAGGTGTTCTTCTTGTTCTAAAATATTTAGAACTGTGTCCAAAAGCAACACGCCATTTCTTTTCTTTTGTTTGGAAGTTCTGGGAGAAGTAGCACAAGGTATGAAGGGAAAGAACCCTTTTTATGCCTCTGTAAGAAAACATAAAAAATAAAGTTTCATTTAGCATAAATACTAAAATACATCCTTTCACGTTAAAGATATTGATAGATAACAAACAAGCCACTCTTCTTTTGCCGTACTTTTTGGTAATTTGGGTTCCCATTTGATTTCAGCCATAACATAGTTGATAGATCTGATGATTTGATTTCCTTTTGGGTAAGGGCTTCAATTGCAATTTAATTTGGAGTAACTTACCCAAATGTGGTATATGAGGCATTGCAGGCCACTTGACTCAGTGATTATCACCTACCTAGCTTCCCCATAGGAATGGGGGAAGTTCGCAGAAGCAATGCCCATCGAGAACTCAAGCTCATCACCACTCGGTCCACTCCTCACAACCTCCACGATGTTAAGCCACAGAGAAGAGAGAGAAGAGAGAGAGAGAGAGAGAGAGAGAGAGAGAGAGAGATGACTTACCTCATGACTTGTGGCGTTGAGTAGTCGACGCCTGGAGGGAGACGATGGAAACTGGGAGTATGGAGGCGGGCGGCTGATAGAGATTATGGAGAGTAGGTTAGGGTTTTACTGGAAATAAATAACGGGTATACGGGGATATATATATATATAACGGGTATACGGGGACGAGACGAGGGTAAGGGTAAGTCCATCCCCGCACGAGTTTATACGGGTATCCTCGTATATGTCCACCGTCCAATATGTATAGTTTATCTCTAGTCCAAACAGGACGGGTTTGGACGAATACCCATTTTTTTTTCGGTCCATTACCATCGCTATGTGGAACTAGGAGGGCGACCACGAGGCACCTTGGGCGTTGTCTGACGAAATGATGGACGCCATGGAGAGGAATGCGATAGGGGCGTTGGGTAGAGGCGAGCCGGTGCTGATGAGGGGTGCCGCTGAGTGCTTAGCATAGTCAAATGAACACGCCTCGGGTGCTGTCGAAGGTGAGGCGCCTTGTGCGCTACCTGGCGTGGCGACCCAGGGCAATGATGTGTTGCAGTTTTGGGCTCATGGATGAGCTGAGCATGGAGAAGGCACTGAGAGGGAGGTCAAAGAAGCTCGGGGAGATGAGGATGTCATTGTAGGCGCCGATGGTGGTCGAGATGACGTGCTAGCGCTGCTAGGCGCACGCGCGCCAGGTCCTGGGTGCGCTCAAGCGGCGTTGTGTGCAGCTAGGTTGTCATCGTTGGGTGAGTTAGGTGTGGACACTGGGCATGGATCTTCTCAAGCAGAGAGTTCGCCGGGTATTTTTGGTGGTGATGGCTTCAGCAAAACAGCAAACGATGTGGTTTGCTTAGGTGGAACTACATAGAGTCAAATCCCTCAACGCTCTCCTGGTAGTGGCTCATACAATGTTTCACTTCACCCCTGCAATAGCAAGCATTGAGGAAGGGCAGCTCTTGACAATGACGGTTCTAAGGTAAATACCATCTCTAGTACTTTCAACACTGATGCGGATATTTTACAGATTGTCTCCCTTATAACATTCTCCCCACGGTACTGTGTCATCGAGCCAAGATGGGCGAGCCCACTTGTGATGACTCTTCTAGAGACATTGCTATCTACGAGGAAGTGCTTGAGGCCGGACTGAGGTTCCCAATGCCTTCTTTTGTTTGTTGCATTCTTCATTAATTTTTACTCACGCCAGGATGGTTGGCACCCAATGGTTGGAGAGTTTTGCTGGGGTTTTTGGCACTATGGAGAAGGGTGCATTATAAGGATGCTTCTCCTAAAGAGTTTTGTGCGGCTTATACTCTGAGTGAGACTCTTGCTCCCAATCGTGGCTGGAGTGGGTTTCAGAGGCTGATAGAGCTTTGGTACCAACAAGATGGGACACTCCCAAGAGAATTGGTATGCTTACTCTTACTTTTTTTCCTTCACCTTTTTTACAAATGTGTACTCATTACATCCCTTTCAGGTTCTCCAGTGCTCTCGAAAGATCAAGACTGGAAGTTATAGGCTGTGATGGTTCACCTCGTGAAGGACTTTGGAGCTCTCATGCTCAAAGAGGGTGGAGCTAAAGACTCTCCTACAGGCAGTGCTAGGGCTGGGGCACCTTCTCCGAGACCTGGCAGTTCCTCTTTAAAGATAAAGGGTATGTTGATTCCCTTGTATTCTCTTTCTTTGCTTAGTCTTTCATAGGATTGATAGATTTAATCAATGACAATACATAACAAAGAAGAGAAAGAATGACGATATTATTAGACTAAAAAGCAAGTCTATAATGAACATCTTAAACCTAGAAATACACAAAGTAACCCTTATATAGTAGGGCAACACAACATAAAAAAATGCCTAAACTACCCTTATTATTAATACTCTAACACCCCATCTCAAACTCATGATGTGGCAAAAAATATCAAGAGTTTGCCAAGAAAAAATCGAAAACGTGCTATGGTATGAGACTCCATAAAAAAAATCCACTAGCTGCATTGTGGAAAGAAGAAAGGGGAGAGTGATGGTGCCCTGCTGCAAATGATGACGCACAAAGTGACAATCAATCTCAATGTACTTTGTGCACTCATTAAAGACCGAGTTATGAGCAAACTGAATAGCACTGGTGTTGTTGCAGAACATAGGAGTAGGAGAAGATATCGAAATACCAAGATTAGCAAGGAGCCATTGTAACCAGATAATCTCAACTATAGTAGATGCCATAGCACGATACTCAGCTTCAGCAAAAGAATGAGCAACAATAGTTTGTTTCTTGCTTTTTCAGGAAATAAGAGAATCCCAAAGAAAAAGACAGAAACCAGTGGTGGACTTGCGATCCATAGAGTCACCAGCCCAGTTAGCATCAGAGTAAGCTCTGAGTTCCATAGATGAAGAGTGAGAAAATAGTAAACTTTGATGTAGAGTACCACAGAGATACCGAAGAATGCGAAGAACAACAACCCAGTGAACAGTGGTGGGTAGGGCAACAAACTGACTCACAATGTGAATAGCATAAGAAATATTTGGACGAGTGACTGTAAGATATACTAAACTCCCAACAATAGTGAGATAGAGGGTTGGGTCAGACAAGGGAGTACCATCGGACGAAGAGTAGCGAACATTGAGCTCTAAAGGTGTTTCAACTGTCCGATTATCTGATAAGCGAGCTCGGTGAATAATGTCAAAGGCATACTTGGATTGAGAGAGAAGATAGCCTTTAGGAGAAAAAGCAATCTCAATGCCCAAGAAATACCTAAGCTGTTCCAAATCCTTTATCTCAAAATGATCCTGTAATTGAGATTTTAATAAGCATATACCAACAGTGTTATCACCCATAATAATCATATCATCAACATATAGTAAAAGAATAATAGAGCCGGAGGAAGTAGACTGTAAAAAGAGAGCAGAATCATGGTCACTGGCGCGTAAATTCAAGTCATAGATAATCGAAGAAAATTTGACAAACCATGCCTTGAGAGCCTGTTTAAGACCATATAAAGCACGATGAAGGCGACATACTTGACCAGAACTATAAGACAATCCTGGGGGAGGTGTCATAAAAACCTCTTTAGTTAAATCTCCATGTAGAAATACATTTTTCACATCCATTTGAGACAAATGCCATTGTCGAATGGCAACAAATGCAATCACGGTGTGAACAGTAGTCATCTTGGCAACAGGAGCAAAAGTCTCATTATAGTCTAAACCATATTCCTAAGCAAACCCCTTGGCTACTGATCGAGCTTTATGTTGTTCCACAGAACCATCCGACTTGATTTTTATCTTATAAACTCAGTTACAACCAATTGGACGTTTACCAGGCGGTAAAGGCACTAGTTCCCAAGCTCTGGTCTTATGTAAGGCAGACAACTCCTCATCCATAGCTTGTTTCCAAAGTGGATCAAGTAAAGCCTCCTTGTTGGAGGTGGGTTCAGATAGAGAAAGAATAGATGTAAGGAAAGAACAAAAGTCAGAAGAATAACAAGTATTACTCTAACCAAACTTGTCTAGACATTTGCGAGAGAGGTATGATCCACAGTATCTGAACCTGATTGGGCGGCTGGAGAAGAAGAGGGAGGCACTGCATCTGGAGAGGAGATAACTGGAGTTCTGCGAACATATGTATGCACAATAGCGGGACGAGAGATAGTCGACTCAGAAGAGGAAGAATCTGACACAGGTAAATCACCAATATATGTGTCATGAGGAACATTAGTAGGAAAGGGATCAATGTATAGTAGGTCAGACTTATTCAATGAGAATGAACTAGATGAAATGGAAAAGAATGGAATATGCTCCATAAAAACAACATGACGAGAGACATAAAGTTTATGGGTGATGGGATCATAGCAACAATACCCTTTTTTACCCTCACCATATCCTAGAAATACACATAAAGCTGAACGGGCAGAAAGTTTGGTACGAAGAACACTAGGGAACAAAACAAAGTAGGTATAACCAAACACACGTAAAGAAAAATAGTTAGGTAGTTTATCACATTACTTTTCAAATGAAGAGACTCTAGAGGTGCGAATGGTAGGAATGGTGTTGATCAAATGAACTGCTGTCAAAATTGTTTCCCCCCAAAATGTGCTGGGAACATATGCTGATAATAGAAAGGAACGTGCTATCTCTACAATATGACGGTGTTTTCGTTCGGTAACACCATTCTGCTCAGGTGTGTCAATGCAAGAGGATTGATAAAGTGTACCATCAGATTTCAACAAATCATGAAAAGAAGTAAGAGTATATTCACCTCCCTGATCAAATCGAAAAAATTTAATGACTGTAGAATATTGAGTGCGTACTATGTTATGAAAAGTAGTAAAGATGGAAAAGAATTTAGACTAGCATTTCATCAAGAATACCCAACAATATCTCATATAATCATCAATAAATGAAACATAATATTTTGACCCTCCTTGTGTAGGAATAGGAGCCAGTCCCCATACATCAGAGTAAACAAGATCAAATGGTGTAAGAGAACAAGTAACACTTTTATTGAACGACAATGCACTAAATTTAGCCAACTTGCATCCACTACAATCAGAAATCTCATGACTGCCTAAACTACCCTTATTGTTAGAGTATATAACCCACCCTTTCTACGCCCTGTCCCAAACAGCTTTTTGGACCGTGGATCCTGTACAACCTAACCAAAGGGAGAGAAATGAACCAAAAATCCAGAGTCAAATAGTTGACTAACTGAAAGTAAATTTAAAGTAAGTTAAGGAATATAATAGACATATAACAGTGTAAGGTTGGAAGAAATAATTGTCTCAACACCAGCTAATGACATTTGAGAACCATTAGCAACAAGTACAGACAAAGATGGATGAGAAACTATAGATGCAAATAAAGAAGAGTCACTGGTCATATGATGTGTGGCACCTGAGTCAAAGACCCAGACGGTTCGAGATATATTTGAAGGACCTGAGCTGAACTAACCTATAGTGGGAGAAACTGTGAGAGAAACTGCTATAGTTGGTCTGTAGCACTAGCGGTGCTACAACTGCTGTATGACGATCTATGGACTTAAATGACTGATTTTGAGATCCTCGTGCATTCTTATTCATCAACTTTGGATATTGGGCCTTCCAGTGACCCTTTTCACGATAGAAGCTACACTCATCAGAGGCAACTCGACCTCGATATTTGTTTTGGGAATTAGAGGTCACTTTGGAAGGAACAACCAACACAGTCTGATTTGGCAGTGGAAGAAGACCCTTTTTAGAAAGGGTTTTAAGATGAACCTCTTCGGCTAAGAGCTCATTAACAACTGCGTCCATTGAGGGGAGTGGATGACGATGAAGAATGGAACCACGAAGTCCTTCGAAGTCATCTCTAAGGGCCATCAAGCATTGCACCAGCTTCTGTTCCTCTCTGAAGGTGCGATATGTCAGATTAGTGCTCAACTCAGTGATTTCAGTAAGTGCTAGCTGATCCCAAAAGCCAATCATAACTCAATAAAATTCTTGTATATTTTTGTCCTCTTGACACGCATCTGGAATCTTATGCTCTAGTTGATACCTCTTTGCAAAATTAAACTGGACAAAAAGTGTGGCCAAATAATCCCATATTTCCTTAGTTGTGCTAAACTTGGATAGATGAACCCCAATGGTCTGATCAACTGAGTTATTAATCCAGGTGATAATTTTTGCATTGTTGATATCTCAAGTACTCTTCAAATCAACAAACTTTTTAGCCTTAGTATTAGCTGGAGCCTGTGCAACACCACTAATATAATTCCACATATCTTTTCCCATTAAATTTTTTTTCATAACATAAGCCCAATAAACATAATTTTCACATATTAATCTCACACTAATGACTTAAAGTGAATTAGAATTTTCACTTGCCATTGTATCAAAATCAAAG